GGGAAAGTGTGCAATGTTTAAAAACTGGCTAATCGTGATGCGACATGTGGCACAATATCAAACTTAGTGTCAAAAAATGTAAAAGTAGCATGATCCAAAAAAAATATTCGACCTTAATGGAGTCTTCTTTTATAAAATTTTGTTTCATTTCCTTTTGACATGCCTTTAGACTTTAGTCTCCTTGATTTCATATTTTTGTTCGCAGACATCGTACCCTTGTGAAAAGCTATGACACACAAGGTTACATACAATTTTCGTGAAAAATTTGGTGACAATATATTGAAAAAAAAAAAGAATTAACATATTCTTAGTTTTATTCCCCAACCTTAGTTGCAATGATGTTTTACAATGCAATCTACTCACACTTTTTTGTTAAAACCTGCTAGCCAACTTCGCAGTCTATTGCTTCTCATCAAATCACCTCCCGCTTTTCACCGTGTGTAAGGATCCATCACTCCTTTAATATAACTAATTATCGCCGACTTAGGCGCATGGTTAGATGGGTCCTAAGTCCTAACTTTGATATTCTTAGATGTCGATATGTAGCAATTTTTAGTCCCTTCAACATCGTTAAGCATTCTTCAATTTAAGGACACACGCCATCTCACAATGCAAAGAAACGCCCACTACATATTTAATTCGTTGAATTTTAGTTTCAACTTTGATTTCAAGAATATAATAATAAAAAGATGTCCAATATTAAAATCACGAAATAAATTGAATCGAGGCTAATCGATAGAAATGATATGTTGAATCTTATTTTTGTTTTCAATGCCTTGTGAGATATTAACAATACAAGTTCATATGTATGCTTGACAAACTTAGAAAATAATAAATTTTGAATTTAAACCATATTGCATTAAGTTAAATTTTTTTTTTTTATACCCAGGTGTCCACTTTCGGTGACTAATCCTGAGATCTACACATTGGCCCCTCAAAACGCAAACTAGGTAAACCGTGGGATGAGCCCCAAACTGGCCAGGATCCAAGATCCCCCTCCATTGATCTGTCAAAGTGTCGAACCAGTCAACTCATGTTGCACCTTGCCTTCCAGGAGAATTCCTGCATTCCAGGATAAATCCTACCTTCCAGAAAAGAGTCTGCCTTCCAAGAGCCATACAAATCAAACTCGCTACCTCTGAAATACCAACAACTAAGAGTCCCGTCCTTTGTCAGTTGGGATGTGCCCGGGGCAAGTTAAATTTTAATTAAACAGTAGGAGGTGCTGGGGTGGTTTGGATAGGGGATGTTGGGGGAAGAAGATGACCTATTTGTTTAGTTTCTATGCAAGGTTGAGCGTAAATTAGTTATATTTCAGAAAATTGGAGATGAAAATTGCAAAAAATAAAAAATAAAGTCCTGCTTTACTATTGAAACTTGCTCTATTTTTAATTTTTTATGAATAATTTTTTTTGAAAGTTACCTATTTACTAGTAAGTAAACTTTTTTGCTTACTAAACATGTTAATTCAAGAAAATTTAACTTTGGTATTAAATCACAAAAAATCATAAACAATAATTATTTAAAATTATTTGTATATACAAAAAAGCATTTCTTAAAATTCTTGAATTATCAGCAAATGAATTGGCAGACACGTTATAGAAATTTTAGTCATCACAAAAGTGTAACAAAAATAAAAGTTGGAAAAGAAAGTTACTAGTGAAAAATAATTTATAAAATCGAAATAATTTGTTGTGGACAGAAAATTAGCTCTTAGTTAATTCTTAAAAGCTTGAGAGTTCTCGAGTATTTGAAAGAATAACCAAACATATTTTAATACCTTGGGCTTGATGTTTGGAGTTCGAAGAATAGTATTACAATTGACCTTCAATATTGCTCAGTTTAATATAATCAAGTCAAACTAGTTAATGTAGTTGATTCTCTGTGGCATATGATGGTGCAATCACTTCTTGAAACTCGTAAGCAGATTTGGTGCAATCGACAATGGCCATGGCGATGTGAGATATGGTGGTAGAAGGAGGTGGCACTAGGGTTAGAGAGACAAGAGAGACAATGTTGGTGGGTTAAAGATTGAATGATATATAATTGGTTTCTCAATCTATTAGGGTAAATATAATTCAACCATAATTAAGTAGGGTAAATATGATTATTTATAAAAATGAGGGTAAATTTGAATTTATTTTTTTTCATAAAAGGAGGACTTTGGCGTAATTAAACCTAATAAATAAACAAGCGGGGAAAATTCACAAGACGGGCATTAAGCATGGACAATTCAATTTTAGGTTTTAAGTTTCAAAATTCAGGTATTAATTAAATATATTTTATTAATTAAGGGTCTTTTTGTCTCCCATTATTGGGAGAGAAATAAAGTAACGAATAGTATTTTTTGGAGAATATGTGGTAGAAATTTAAAGTAACTTTATTGGTTTGTGTGTAGAATATTTTATTGGGTGAATGTGTGGTGGAGAATCTTACTGTAGGAAATAATTTTTTGGAATAATGGTAGACAAACATATGCTAAATATATTAAAGTCACAATTATGCAATTAATGATATATGTATATACTTATAAGTCATAACGTTACACATTATCAAATTAATTGATCATAGATTATTTCATCGGTCACAAATAAAAAAAATTATATGTCATACTTTATTTACGGTTACAGATTTTCAAATTTTTAGGTCACAATTAAATAATTGGTCATAAATAACTAAATAGTTGATCACATACACAAAATAGTGAGTCACATACCACCACCACCACCAACACTATCGCCACTTGTTACCACCCTCACCCCGTCATTGTTACCACCGCCACAACACCACCAAAAATCGCCATCGCCAGATCTAATCTACTGCTAACAAAAACCACCACAACCACAACTATCAGATCTCCAGCTACCAACAACCACTCACATATTAACTATTCAATAGGTCACAAGGTCACAAATGCTAATCCACTCCAATAGAAACGCACTACCACTACCGTCACCATCGCCAACGCCACCGCTGCCACATCCACCAACAACAACCTGCATAACTACCATCGCACCACCGCCACATCCACCAACACAACAACCTGCACCACTACTATCGCACCACCACCACTAAAAACAACCATTTGCAAACTGAAAAAAATTAAACCACCAACAACTAACATCAAAACAACCACAAAAACTCCGGCTAAGCAGATCAGAAGAGGAAGAAATAACACCCCCACGTCGCAACAGTTGGCGTCGACGTCACTGATGTGATGCTGTTGCGAACGACAGCGTTGACGGACTGCAGCATCGACTGGTGACGCTGCTGAGAACTCTCAACATCCCTCGATGCTAGTAGCGTCGGTCGGTGTAGCTCTTTCATCACATGTTGCTAGAGTTTGAATGGGTCGTCGACGTTTGAAGAAAGAGAAGGGAGAAATGTAGAGAGAAGGGAGAGAGGAAAATAATTAGGGTTTAGATGGATGAGATACGGTGAGTATGTAGATTAATTTAATTTTAAAATATTATTAATATGATATTAAAAAGTTTAAATTGTTACCTATTTTTGGCAAGAAAAAATTCAAATCTGAATTTTGAGTTGTGCATTTTAAAATTCTACGTAGGTGTAATTTCCACAAAACAGGTCTTTGTATGAAAAAAGCCCATTCATTGGGCCCAATCCACTAGTTAATGGACTGAAACATTGGGTATAAACCCATATAGAGCCCAGGTAGAGTACGACGTCGTATAAACCTTTTATTTCGTCTCCTATCCATTCGCAAAGCAGAACACAATTCTTTGGAAATGGCAGCACGCACTCTCTCCACAGCCCCAACCCGAATAACCCGACGCGAATGCAACCATACGAACCCATTTTTACCTACCCAGAATACTCTTGGACTACCCAGATTACATAATTCATGGATTGGCACCATAGCAATCAAACTCCCGATCAATTTCACCAATGTTATGCCCTTTTTACCAAAGTACCCTCCCATCAAAGCCACAGTCTCCTTTAGCCTCCCCACTGCGTTAGTCTCTTAAAATTTATATATATTGCGTTTGATGTATTTAGAATACGTCGTGGTTGTAATTTATATAAGTTCGCATTCATGTTTTAGTTGCTTTTACTTTAAATAGGGATTTTAGTCCGTGGAATTATAACCAATTGGGCATCCTCCCCTTTATAAGAGTGTATTCTCTTCAACTAACCATTGGTATAGAGGATCGGGACAGGATACTTCTAGGAGAAGATGGGTTTTATGAAGCCAAGCAATTGGGAATTTGGGTTGCAGTAGACTCGGTTATGAAACGAGGGTGGAATGTAATGACTCTAATTGTATCCAACGTCTTGTTTTGTAGGTTTATAAGCCACTTGGGCACCCTCCTCTTACGAGCTAGTTTTAATTGTGAGTTATGTCTAGTGTGCTTGTAATAAATTTTAAATATTTTTTTCAAAGGCAAGCCCAATGCTAGTATATAATTCCCTATCCAAATGTGTATGGTTTACTATTGCTTGAATTTATGCTGACATGTGCATACGCTATCTAATCTTGATGGATTATGAGATAGAGTTACAATCTCTCCATATATTACGAGATTATAATGTCATGTCGTATTGATCTACATATATATGCTAATTGATATTTTGACCGTAAGCTTATTCTAAATTTGATAATTTATGCTATAAAGTTGGAATATTTAAATTGTGTTTATGTACATGCATAGTGTTACCCTTATCTACATTTGATGGGTTTGAAGTTTCGAATTGAGCATAATCCTGTGATCTACTTACTTATCCTATGTATGAAGCAGTTGAGGTTTTTTTTTTTTCGTCTTGCAGAAAGCCAGAGCCAGTTGTTTCCACTGAGAAAATGCCCAAGTGAGTTTTCAGTTCTGTATTCATTTTATTTTATTTTTCTGGTGGGGGTTTGGAGGTCGGTTGATAACCTGTTTGCTGTTTATAGTGTGTTTGTTTAATCGGTATGGTTGGTTGGAATTGTGGTGCTTTGAATTTGGTTGAGTGGAATTTTAGATGGTCGTCAAAGGCAATAAAGTCATTTGCAATGGGCGAGTTGGAAGCAAGGAAGATAAAGTCCCCGACCACGGGCACCGAAGCTCTTCTCATGGGGATCTCGATCGAGGGTCAGTCGATTTTTTCTTCCTCAATTTTTCTTCTCGTTTTTTAGGATTTTTTTTCCTAAATGCATTTGGTCCACTAGTTCAATA